TTGTTTCAAAACATATCTCGGAATGAATTAATAAACAGACACAGCTGCCACCGTGTTAACACGGGGAAGCAGTGCCTGAACAGCTCTGTGTGCCTGAGACACAACGTGAGGATTAATCCTGGCCTTGCCCTGCTCTTGGACAGCTCACAAAAGGCCTGGTGGGGGAGAAGCATCGTGTGCTGTGCTGGAGAATGCCCTGCTCTGCAGCTCAGGGCATTAATGCCCCTGCAGGACAGCAGCCTTTGGCTTCTGAGTGTGTTAGAGCTGCCAATATTCCCCCCCAGAGCCCTGAGCCCCGAGAGGGCTGGGCTGTCACTGCCTGGGGACACCAGCACTGCACAGAGGGAGGAGAGAACCCCTGGGTGCTCCAATGCCTCAGGATTTCAGCTTTTCTATTTTCCATCTATCTGTAACCCTGCAGTTCTTTAGTGTATAACTCTGAACTCCATACCCAGTGTGAGCTGCTGCTCTCCCATTTTGGGCAGACACAACAATTCCTCTCCAGGCTGGCAATCAAGGACACCTCACTGCCTCAGGCCCCAGAGATGGAAACAAAAGGGAGTTTTGGGGGGAGCAAACTTGGGGTAAATGACTTCATTACCTGAAGCTGTAATTGGAAGATTAACCCCAATGTGCAAATGAACCAAACTGATAAAAGTGTGAAGTCCTGTGAGCCATTGTCCATTTTGGGTGTAGCCCCTGGGGGGCTTTGTCTGCCCCAAATGTACCTGAGGGCCCTTCAATAAATAGAACTGCTTTTTATTCCCTTCATTTGATCTGCCCTCTGTTTTTAGGTAATTCCAAAAGGTATCAATAGGGAGTGAACAGAGAAAGGTTGTCCTGTGACACCCAGCTGTGAGCAGGGACAGCAGCTCCAGGGTGGCTGATGGAGCAGAGTCACCTGGAGCAGGGTAGAGAGATGCTTTTGGGGAATTGGGAATTGGGTATTTGGGTATTTTAGCATGCTGGCTGCATCCTGCTACAAGTGCCAGGTCAGGGGTGGGAGCAGCTGTGGGCTGAGCAGAGCTCAGATGTTTTAGGGAGAGCACTCCAGGGGCTGGAGGGTTTGTGTGGCCTTTAAATGTTTGAGGTGGTGATCCCTGTGGCCCTGAAAGTGTCCCTCAGATGCCTCAGTTTCCCTCTGTGCAGCTGGGGAGCCTTGTGCTGTCACATTGAGGGGATGTGGATCTTGCCATGCCCAGGGCACTCCTGGGGCCAGGGGTGGGCACTCATGAAGAGCCCCGTGGCTGTTTTATACCAGAAGACTCAGGGGCAATGAGAGCCCCTCCTGAATTTCTGGATTCTGAAATTCTGGCACCTTGTGTTGAGTATTTCATTTCTCTTGCCCTCCTGTCACGTCTCTGTGGGCACAAGTGGCACTGACAGACGGCCAGACATTACAGCAGTGAAATGTTGTAGCTGGAACATAAAAATTGATTTGATCTCTCGGCTCCTCCTGTTTAATGAGTGAGCTTTGTGGCTCTGTGCATGAAAGGCTTGGGGCAGACAGAGCTGCCTGTGAGACTCTGGGGGCTTTCCCTGGGGGAAGGAGTTTGATTTTCCTGGCAGCAAACAGGTTTTGAGTCATTAAAGCATCTCCCTGTACTCTGTGCTTGGTTCCAGCTCACCTGGGAGCACAGGGGAAGGTGCTGCACATCCAAGAAGGCTCTGCTTTTTCAGGAGCAGAGTTTGTCACCACTTCTGCCTGGTGTTTGTCACCGTATCCAAAGTGCAGTTTGTCCTGGATGCTCCTGAGCGAGGCAGAGCAAACAGAGCCGTGCCCTGCCCTGCCCTGAGCAGGAGCTAACCCAGCAAATGCTCAGGGAAGGGAGCTTCACTGGTTGTATTTCAACCAATTTCAACACATTTCGGTTTTAAGGGCTTTGATCATGGCATGGAATTGTGGATCTGTCGCCAAGTTTGGGCTTCAAATGGAGAAATAAATGATAAACGATCATTTGGCAGCAGTGAACCCTCTGCACTCCCTGTGCATGTTTATGTGCTTTTCCCTTCTCCCATCTGTTCCTTCCTCCAGCTCCTCCCCATGGGCTCTCCAGCCCCCCTTGCCTGGCTGACAGCATTCCCAGCCCCCAGAACCGTGGAATATCCTGGGCTGGAAGGGCCCATGGAGCCCTCCCTGGATGGGACCTGCCTGCTGCAACCAGAGATGTTTGATTGATGGGAGCTGAAGAGCAGCCCCTAAATATCAACCCCTGGGATTGCTCTGAAAATGGCCCCAGGCACTTCCTCACTCCCTTTTCTCTGCTTCCAGACAAATGGTGCTGCAGGAAACACCTGGAATTGGCTTTACTTCATCCCTCTCATCATCACTGCCTCTTTTTCCTGTGTGTTGGGAAGGAAGCTCTGGGGATGAGTTTCCCTCCGAGCCCATCTGCAGAGATGTAGGGCAGGAGAACAGGGCAAGGAGAGAGCTGAAAGCAAAGAGAGAGAAGAATGGAAGGACCAAACAGGGAATGAAGAGTTGGGGTGGGATGTCAGGTATTCCAAAGGCCTTCAAAACCCTCACTGGGCAGCTCTGAGCTTCCCCTGCATTTCTGCTCCCGTTTTCCCAGCCTGATTCTCCTCAGATCCATTTGTCCCTCACGAGCTGGTTCTGCCTTGAGCAGGGGGTTGTGGTGAGGTTGGTGAGTGCTCATTCCTCTCCTCTGAGTCACTGATGACTGACACTGACATTCCTGATGGTGATCCCTCCTGGAGGAAGGATTTGTGCAGACAGGTACCCTGTTAACCAACCCCAGGGGGTTGACTTGTGTCAGTGCTATAAATGTTATCACCTCGGAGAAATACTCTGCCACTTTGGGTTCATTGTTCATCTTTGAGACTTTTGAGATGGTACCAAGTACATGCACAGCTGAGGTAAAACACATTTAAAGTGCTTCCTTTACTGAGTCCTGCAAGCAAAATTATTCTTGGAGATTGGGAACACTGGCCAAAAAGCATCACAGATAAGTTAAAAGCACTAATATCAGTTAGAATTAACAGGTTTTGCCTGTTGGTGTTTGAGAGCAGTTTTTTTGGGCAGGGAGGTGAACTCAGGGCTCCTGTTTTTCTTTACCCTCTGCAGAGGAGGGAGAAGGACAAGGAGAATGCAAGAATTTCCTTGTATCAGTGCTATAAATGTTATCACCTGTCAGAAATGCTGTGGTGTAGGTCTGTACAGAGACTTTGGGGTGGTACCAAGTACATGCATGGCTGAGGTAAAGCACATTTAAAGCAATTCCTTCTGTGAATCCTGCAAGCAAAATTACTGTTGGGAATATGATTGGGAGCAGTGACCAAAAAGCATCACAGGTAATAAGTTAAAGCAGCAATATCAGAATTAATGCAGTTTTTGCCAGGTGGTGTTTGAGCCCTTCTCTGTAGGCTCTGCCTTTGGGGAGGGAGGTGAGCTCAGGGTTCCTGTTTTTCTTTACCCTCTGCAGGAGGAGGGGTAAGGATGAGGGGAATGTGTTTAGGTCTTTACTTTCCTTTTGCTCCCCTTCTCCCTTTCCTTCCACCCAACATCAAATCCTCAGATTGCTGCATTCTTCCTGCACAAGAGAGGAATTTGCATTTTCCTCAGCACTGGGATTCTGTCAATGGCCATGTGGCATTTTCCTTTTCAGCACTTCCCAGAGAGCTCCCTCGTGGCTGATGAATGCAGAAACTTTGTCATAAACTCACCACCCTTCCCTCCTGTTCATGTCCCACTGCTGCCTGCTCAGGGTGGGTTTGGCTGGCAGGAGCCCGAGGTGCTGAGTGAGCAGATGTGGAATTGTGTCATTCCAGAGATCCTGGGTTTCTTGCACTCTCCTTGTCCGTGTGAGCAGATTCTGGGTTTAACTGCAGCCTGGCTTTAGGGAAGGCTGTGGTTCCCTGCTGGAGTGGCTCAGCTCAGATGGAAATGTGCTGCTGATGCTGAGCAGAGGGAGCTGGAGCCGAGCTGGGGAGGGAGGAGGCTGCTGTGGAGAGCTTAGGCCACCTAAAAATGTGTTCTGGTCCTGCAGCAGGGTCAGCCTGGAAATGTGGATTTGTTTAGGTTGGAAAAGGCCTTTGACCTATGTCCCCTACATGGCTTTTAAATCCCTTCAATTATGTGACTCCACCACTGCCCTGGGCAGCTGTGCCAGGGCTGAGCTGCATTTCCATGAAGGAATTTTCCCAATATCCAAATCTAAGCCTCCCCTGCCCAGCCTGGGGTCGTTCCCTCTCCTCCTGTCCCTGTTCCCTGGAGCACAGCCCGACTCCCCCGGCTGTCCCCTCCTGTCAGGGAGTTGTGCAGAGCCACAAGGGCCCCCCTGAGCCTCCTTTTCTCCAGGCTGAGCCCCTTCCCAGCTCCCTCAGCCTCTCCTGGGGCTCCAGCCCCTTCCCGAGCTCTGTTCCCTGCCCTGAACACGCTCCAGCCCCTTCAGGTCCTTCTTGAGGAGCCCAGAACTGGACACAGGATTTGAGGTGCCCCAGCAGAGGGGTGGTCACTGCTCTGGTCCTGCTGGACCGTGGCTGGTACAGCCCAGTGGCCTCTTGCCTACCTGGGCACCCCTGGGCTCATGCCCAGCCACTGTTACAGCACCCCAGGCCTTTCCCAGCTCTGCAGCCCCTCTGGCCCAGCCTGGAGCTGTGGCCCAAGGACAGATCCCTGCTGACCCTCAGCCCTTTGGGGTGACCCCACGGATCCACCCTGGGCTGGCCCCTCTGCAGAGCTGCTGCCCTCCAGCACATCCACGTTCCACCCAGCCTGGTGTCAGCTGTGAGCTGCATCCCCCAGCAGGTCACTGGCACACACAGCAGAGGGATGTCCCCACTGGAGCTGAGGAAAAATCACGGTGTGGATGTTGGGATGTCAGTTCTTTGGCTGGAATTTCAGCACACGGGACAGCAGTGGGGACACTCCTGTGCAATCCCAAGGGGAATCTCCTGTGCCCTGCAGGCTCTGTGTGGCGTTTTCTCCCTGAAGTGAAATAACACTTGTGTTTGTCTCTCCCTTTTCCCGTTGTTTCCAGACGAATGACGCTGCAGGAAATACCTGGAACTGGCTTTACTTCATCCCTCTCATCATCATTGGCTCTTTCTTCATGCTCAACCTGGTGCTGGGCGTCTTATCAGGGTAAGGCACTCATGAATTTTCGTCCCCACCTGGATATTAAAAGGGAAGATGTGTTGATTTTAGCACTGGGGGGATATTGCTGAGAGAGAGGGGTGACACATCACGCTGTGTCCCCTTCCCACATGTCCCACCTGTCCTCTCCCCACAGGGGATATTTCTGTAGAGTCCTACATGAAACCCTGACCTGAGATGGTTCTGAATCCATGCCCAAGAGTGAAGTGAACCTGTGGAATTAGATTGATTTGGGTCAGGGCAGCCAACGCTTCAGTGCTGCCTAGAAAAGCCATCAGGAACCTGCTGGGGCCAAGGAAATGCTGGAGTGGGACGTGGGAATGTTGATAATGCATTTGGTGCAACTGGGGAGAGGGGAAGCTCAAACTCAAGGCAATTAAAAGATCTCAGGTTTGGGATTTTTTTTTTTTTTGGTGGTGGTTTTTTCTTTTCTTGCATTTGATTTCTTTGTTGACTTGTTTTGTTTGTTCGATCTTTACCTGCTTGAGCCAATCTGTGGATTTTGGGGACACGCTGGTGCCTTGGTGTTCAGACCCCAGGGGTCAGTCAGGGATTTGGTGTTTGTTGCAGCTGAGTTTTGGGGTTTGGACCTTTTCAGGAATCAGGGTGCCAAGTCTGAAGCTGGAACATTCCCAGCATCTGGGGAGATGTGATCTGGAATTTGCACACTCCAGGACTATAAAGCTCTCAGACTTTGGCACCACATTCTGCACTGAGTTTCTTCTTAGATCATGCAGGTGATGGAGATCATAGAGATGTATTAAAATCTGGATTTTTTTCTGCCTCTTGGCAGCAGGGGAAGAAAAAATGATTTGTTGCTGTTGTGTGGTAAAAGCCCTTCAGTGCTGCACCTTTCCTCTTCTTTTTTACAGTGACTGGGGAAAGTGTTTTCCAAAGAACATATCAATGCTGATTTGTATTGTTTTGTTATTATTTTCCTCCTCAAAGCACAGGCTGTGGGCAGCAGGGCAGTGGAGGGGAGAGGGCTGTGGGTGAGGCTGTGTCAGACCCTTCAGTGCAGGAATAACCATCGTGAACAAGAACTGATCAAAGCATTTATAACTGATCAAAGCCATCTCTAACTGATCAATAACTGATCAAATCCATTTATAACTGATCAGTAACTGCTCAAATCCATTTACAGGACATCCTGGTGTATCAGAGGCTTTGTCTGATGGCTGGTTTGCAGGGATTACCCCAGCAGGGCTGAGTGTGGTTCATTAGGTGCCACATCACCCTCATTTCACAGTGGGATTTAAACCAACCCCAAATCCTGCAGGCTCCTGTTCCTCTGTGCTGGAATCAAAGGGCTTTGGTGAGCAGGAGCTGGAGACCTCTGTCTGACTCTCCTGAAAGCCTCCTGTTGCTCGGGGCAAAATATGACTATTATATAAATGTGTGTCTCCTCTTAAAAACACAGCTCTGTGCAGGATTCCCTTTGTCAGTGGTTAGGATGAGAAAATCTTCCTCACAGAGGGGAGCTTTTAATTTCTGTTTCACAGAGTGGTTTGACATCCTTGCCTGGAATCATTCCTGGGGAGAGGCTGAGGAAATAAAAATCAGAGCACAGGTATGGAGCACAGGGCTCCTGGTGGGCTTGGAGCTGTGAGCAGGGAAGGAAAAAGGTATAAAATGTATAAAAAATCCTGCCCAGTGAGGGTGGGCAGGGCTGGCACAGGGTGCCCAGAGCAGCTGTGGCTGCCCCTGGATCCCTGGCAGTGCCCAAGGCCAGGTTGGACATTGGGGCTTGGAGCAGCCTGGGACAGTGGGAGGGGTCCCTGCCATGGCAGGGGTGGCACTGGATGGGCTTTAAAGCCCTTTTAAACCCAGACCATGATTCTGTATCTGACTGGAGGAGTGCTAAGAAGACACCAGAAGAAAAAGAAAGCCCCTCAGAAAGCAGAGACTGTTGTCAATGTGCTCTGCAGCCAAAAGCCCAGAGAGCACCATGGAGAAAAAGAAAAAAGAAAAAAGAGAAATTTCTTTTGGAGTTATTCTTTGCCTGGGTGTCTGCATGGAGAAAGGCACAGAGAATTGATTTCCATAGGACAGAGCCTCACTCAAGGACACAAAGCCATCACATCCCAGGGACAGCACCAGCCCCAGCTCCTGACATGGACACTCCTGCCAACACCCTCCCCTCGTGTTTCAATCAAACAAAGTTGATTGAGGGTTAGGGAATCCACAAACAGGCCCTGAACGGGGTTAGCTCAGCAATTTGCTGCTGGTTTTCATGACCTGTGCACCTCATGGCTTTTACTGAGATCCTGCAGGATCCTGGGGATTTTTATGGAATTTCCAGGGCTCTCTAGCAGGACTCAGAATCCCATTTGCTCTGGGGCAGTGGTTTAGTGTCCCTTGTAGGGGATTTTCCTCCCTGCTCCTCACTTTATATTCCCCCTTTTCCATTTTCTTTCCCTGGTGCTTGATTCTCCTGTGAACCAAAATAACTCAGCAGCCCTGCAGAACCCAATAGAGCAGAAAAATACAGATTATTTCCTTCTGCAGGAGCTTTTGCTGAATGTCACAGCTGATTTGGGAGCTCAGGACTGCACTGGGCCAGGAGAGCAGGAGCAGGAGGGGAAATTCCTCTCCCTTTTGATACCAGTAACATCCAGGAGCTCATTTCCTTCTGCATGTGAACTGTGGAGTTGTGGAATTCAGAGCACGGGTGTGTTCTGCCCATCCACGTGCTGGGGTGACTCCCCAGTCACAGGCACACACAAGAAATGGGAAAATGGAAATGATAAAAATAAATAATTGAAAGATAGGTGGAATTAGGAGATTCAACACCTGCTTGAAGTTTTGCTGGCCCATCCCTCCAGCCCCTCAGGTGATGTTATCCCTGTTCCAAAAGCTGGGGCACCTTGCTTCCCAGAAACTGAGATGGCATTTTCTGAGAGTGGAACAACTGCAGTGGTGAAAATGTTTAGGAATTTGTATCCATAATGTATTTCCCTTGGAACAACTTTCTGTGCTGACTGCAGTGGGGGGTTATTTTTATTAGATCATTTGTAAACTCTTTGTTTGTGATCTAGGTAGCAATAGAGGGGAACACAACTTTTCCAAAAAAAAAAAAAAAAAAAAAAAAAAAAAAAGAAAAAAAAAGATTGGTTGCCTCTGGTGGCACCATGGGATTGTTCTGACTGCAAACCATGGCAGGAAGTGCTGACCCCAGCTGCCCTCCTGTGTCCCTTAAACACAGGGTCATTTGTTGCTTGGGATGGCACAGCTTCACTTCTGACCACACAACACCCTGGGATGATCCTGATGAATTTTTTATTGAGCTCTGCCCATGGTTTGCAGCGAGGAAGGAAAAATCCCCACATGGAGTTGAGAAGTGCTGCCCCACAGTGAATCTTTGTCTGACTTAATTCTGGTTTCTTGCCCTGTGCCCCCAAGGACTGGGCACTCCCATCCCTATGCCCATCCCCATCTTGACCCCATCCCAACCCCAACCCCATCCTCATCCTCATCCCCATCTTGACCTCATCCCAACCCCAGCCTCATCCTCATCCTCATCCTCATCCCCACCTCATCCCAACCCCAACCCCAACCCCGTCCTCATCCTCATCCTCATCCCCATCTTGACCCCATCCTCATCCTCATCCCATCCCATGATCCCATCCCATCCCCATTCCAACTTTGGTTTCCTGCACTTCCCTCTCTCAGCATTCACTTCAGGGCTGTTTTTCTCCTCCTGCTGCTGTTCCCCTCAGCCTCCCCTCATCCCAGCTCCCAGCTTTTTTCCACAGGCTCTGGGATTATGGAGTTTCCTCCAGCTTGGGAATTAATTTTGCCCGATAATGAGCTGATGAGCTGATGCCACACAATACATTGATGAACTGTTCTGATGCTTTGGATGACACAATGCAGAGAGGGTAAACGTTATCCTGGGATGCTGGGAGGAAGATGATGGAACTTATTTCAAGGCTAAATGCTTTTTGGCAGGGATTCAGGCGGGGGGAGCGCCGAGGGTGGCCAGAAATGATGCACTGGGATCCTGCGAGTCTGCTCCTCTCCAGTGAAAAACGCTGCTTGTCATGTCCTCAGATATTTATGGTGAAGCCTGAGGTGTTTCCAGCCCAGGCAGTGAAGAGTGATGGCTGCTGCCAGGGTTTACTCATCGAGAGCTGAGCCTGGAGACGCTGCCAGGGCTGGGCTGGAGCTGCTCCCGCCTGTGCTGCATGGGATCACCTGGGGCAGCTGATGCCTTTTGGGGCCACCTAAAAACAGAGGGCAGATCAAATGAAGGGAATAAAAAGCAGTTTATTTCTATTTATTGAAGGGCCCTCAAGTACATTTAGGGCAGACAAAGCCCCCCAGGGGCTACACCCAAAATGGACAATGGGTCAAAGGATTTCACACTTTTATGAGTTTGATCCATTTGAGTATTGGGGTGAATCTTCCAATTACAGCTTCAGGTAATGAAGTCATTTACCCCAAGTTTGTTCCCCCCAAAACTCCCTTTTGTTTCCATCTCTGGGGCCTGAGGCAGTGAGGTGTCCTTGATTGCCAGCCTGGAGAGGAATTGTTGTGTCTGCCCAAAATGGGAGAGCAGCAGCTCACACTGGGTATGGAGTTTAGAGATATACTCTAAAGAATAGACTATATATTATAAATAAATATAAATATAAATATATATATAAAAATATATATGTAATAGCTATAATATATAAAAATATAAATATATCATACACTATACGTTCTATATTATATTACAGGCTATAATACATATTCTAAAGAATATATATATATATACTAAAGAATTGCAGGGTTACAAATATATGAAATATAGAAAAGCTGAAATTCTGAGGCATCACAGGGACTGTGGGGAGACATTTGGAATGGGTGCAGCAGCTTTGTGCCACTGGGAGCCTGGCAGGGGACACAGCTCCAGCTGGCACCTCACAGGAGACAAGGGGCAGGGAAAAAGGGGCAGGAAAAAGGGATTTAATTCCTTTTCTCACCCTTTTCTGAGCAGTCTG